ATCTATATAATGCATGGAGAAAGCATATAAATATCAAAATGAAATCAACATGATGATATCGGTTTAGAAATACCATATGTGGAAACCAATTTGATTTCTACCACTTGCAATAGGTGGTGGATATTTGAAGTATGATGCTTAACTCCGGGGACTCCATTTTCCTTGCAATGAGACTACTACACACATGATAAGCTTGAAAAAGGTGTTAGTCTCAAGATATCCAATTTGTAGAGTAACCTCCCCCTAAATTTATGCATACAAGTATGGAATACTTGTAGAAAACATGCACATTGATTTTAGAATCAAAAATACTACTTGAAAGATGACATCTCATGAATGTGAGAATCATTTTCGAAGATGATATTCGGGAGAAATTATCTACAATTTGGACTTTGGCACATATTAAGTAAACATTCAAAAGACAAGCTATGTGCCTTGCTCCTAAGCAATTTTAAACCATGTAGGTTTGCTCCAAAGGTTAAGAATAAAACCGAGCAAGCCTACCATAAGATATACCTAGTGTATGCATGACAAAAGATATAAGCATGCAAATGCAAACATAGGCATGAAAAGTAACTAGATGCTTAAAAATACCAATTGTAAGAACTACCACTTGAAGGAAATACCAGTTGAAAGTAATAACATCTAATTACCTAACATGGGAAGGGGAATTTGGGTCCATAGTATTCACTAACCCACTTGGTAATAACTTTGTCCATAATGGTGCACCCCATGAAATGCATCCATACTTTGCCAAGTCTCCAAATTCCCTATTGTCCATTGGACTTCTCACTTCCCTTTCGGGATCCAAACCTTGGTGGTGCTCTTCATGTTGGAAATGATCTCCTTTGGCACCCAAAAGCGTTTGACCCCATTGTTGGCTTGCTTGTTCACCTTGATGGCCACCACCTTGTCATTTTCTTCTTCTTCAAGAGATAAGGTGTGGAGGCCTTCTTGTCCACCTTGTTGGTGTAGGTGTAGGAGAGCTTGCTTGTTTGCTTCTTCTCTTTCTTCTTTGCTCCTCCCCCATTCTTCACCTTGCACTCATAGGACTTGTGACCTTCCTTGTGGCACACGTAGCAAACCACGATTTGTCCTTCATCAAGCTTCTTCACTCCCTTGATGGTGTTATCTTGATGAAGTTGGGCTTGCTTCGCCTTGCCTTTCACTTGAGTTAAGTCCTTGGTGAGGCGGGCTACTTCTTGCTTGAGTTGCTCATTCTCCTTTGCAACCTCTTGTGTGCATGTATCTACAACAACTTTCTCAACACAAACTTGGTTGCACAAAGATAAGTCTAAACATAAATCATTACAAGAAGTAGAGGCATCGTTTTTGGACATGTCAAAGATAGAACTTTTCTTTTTAGATGCCTTGGTGGGGGTTGTACTAATGGCTTCAAGATTAGCAACTTTATCAGTTAGCTCATCACAATATTTGCACATGGTTTCCATTTTAGCAAGCAAACTTTTATAAGCATCTTGTGAGCTAGCCAACTTTTCTTTTAATTTTTCATTTTTCTTTACAAGTTGCTTAATTTTAGTAGATAGTCCAACATTGAGATTAGCAAAGTTCTCATATTGTTCAAGCAAAGTTTTGTATGCTTCTTGTGAACTATCTAGCTTTTCTTTTAATTTTTCGAGCTTCTTTTGTTGACTAGTGCAAACTTTAGCATAATTAAGATTTTGTTGCACAATTTCATCATAAGAAGGCATTTCATCATCACTATCACTCTCACTAGAGGATGAGCTTTCGTTACCTCATGCCATAAGGCACATACAAGAAGAGCTTGATGATGAGTGCTTGCGCCCTCGCCTATTGTGATGGTGTTCCTCTTCACTTGAAGAATCATCCCATGACCTTATTGATATGAGGGCTTGGTTCTTGCATGCCTTCTTCTTTGTCTTAGGTGTGGGCTTGTTTGGACAAACTTCCACAAAGTGCCCCAACTCGCCGCATCCATAGCATCCTCTCTTTCTTTGCTCATTTCTTTGATTGGTGAAAATGAGATCTTGGATTTGGATGGGCACACCCTTGACATTGAGCCTTTGGATCATCTTCTCCACCTTATTGATTAGTTTGATTGATTCTTCATCAAGGTCAGAGGTGGAGGAGGAAGATTTATCATCTTCACTTGAACCATTATCATCATCATCATCATCCTCATCTTCTTCTTCATCTTCACTTGAGGAGCTTGAGCTTGAGCTTGTCTCAACTTGCTTGCCCTTCATCTTCTTTTCTCGCTACATGCGAGAGCTTTGCCTTTGCTTGATGAAGAGGCTTCATCTTGACCCATCTTACGTGACATTTCAGATGCCACTAACTTACCAATGACTATGCCTGGGGTAATGGTGCTCAAGTTCTCCATGTTGTGAAGGATGGTGATGATGCTTGCATATTTCTTTTGTGGTAGCATGGAGATGATCTTCCTCATGATGTCTGCATCATCTAGCTTTGTTAATCCTCTTGAATGGAGCTCATTGATAATTAGATTCAAACGAGAATACATATCACGAACAAGTTCATCATCATTCATTGTAAAGGAATCATAATTTTGTTTAGCTAGACAATGTTTTTGCTCACGGACATTAGATGTGCCGTCATGGAGCTCTTGGAGTTTTAACCAAATTTCATGTGCCGTATTTAAAGTGAACACTTGGTTAAACACATCCATGCTAAAAGATTCAAACAAGCAATTCTTAGCTCTAGCATTGAAATGAATTTCCTTTTCTTCACTCTTAGTGGCTTTATCGGGATTCTTAAGGGGTTTCATCCCATCACGAGTGACTCTCCAAACTCCCAAATCAACCGCTTCAAGGTAGCAAGCCATTCTAGCTTTATAATAGGAGAAGTTAGTGCCGTCAAAGTGCGGAGGCCTAGAGGTATCCATCCCAACCACTCTAAATGGCGTCGGCACAACGGCGGTTAAGACAAAGGTCCAAATTGAGCCAACCAGCTCTGATACCAATGGAAGGGGACCATGACGCCTAAGAGGGGGGGTTGAATTAGGCAACTTAAAAATCTAACTCTAAACTATGGCCTCTTTTTCTAACCTTAGCAAAACCTATACAAAAGATAAACTATCTAAATGTGCAACTACGGTTTTGCTATCTCTACCGCAAAAGAAGTAATACAATCAATGTAAATGCGGAAGCTAAAGAGCAAGGTAGAGATATGTAAACTCCCGTCGACGACTCTGGTATTTTTACCGAGATATCGAGAAGCGCGCAAGCTTCCCCCAAGTCCTCGTTGGAGCCCCTCGCAAGGGCCAAGCTCCCGGTCGGGTAACTCCGTGAATAGCCTCGGGCCTTCCCCACACGCAAGTGGGTCTCCGACGTGCCTTCCGGCAAGCCTCTCCCGGATGCTTCCCGCGGTCTTCACTATCAAGCTTCCGGCCAAAATGTCGCGAGCCTTGTTCCCTTCGGTACACGGTGGCGGCCACACCACAAACGCGGTTGGTGTGATCTCGCAAGACTACAAGCCCCCCCGGTGAATAACAATGGTGCGCGCAAGCACCGAGTGGTAAGAGGTATGCAAACCTTACTAAACACTAGGCCTAAACCTAGAGCAAGCGCATAAGCGGTGGTCTAATCAACCTAAGCACTTCACAAAGCACCAACGCTAATCACCTAATAAAACACTAAGCGCTATGCAAGTGGAGATCAACAAAATGGTGTATCAACACCCTTGATATGTTTCCTTAGCTCCATACTTTTCAAATGGTCGGTTGGGGTTGTATTTATAAGCCCCACTGAGAAAGTAGCCGTTGGGGATGAAATCTCGCTTTTCGCCATCTTGACGGGATGAAGTCGCCCTGACCGGACGCGCGTCTGGTCATCCCGACCGTTGAGCCACAAACAAGCGACGGACGCTGCCAAGATCCGGTCACTTGCCACCGACGCATCCGATCGCAAGTTCACCGCTCTGGAACCTCTCTGTACTTGATCGAATCTTTGCTGCCCTGCGTCCGGTCGGTTTCTTGCCGCCAGTTGTCCGGTCCAACGTCCGGTTGCTGCTGTGTTGCCGAGCCTCTGATCGTCAGAGCGTTCGGTCGCTTTTCGTCAGCATCCGGTCTAGCGTCCGGTCGCTGCTGTGAGCTCGTTTCTTCGCGATCTTGCGTGCGGCTTGGTTCCTATCTTCATGCTTGGACTTTGCTTGATATATTGGTCTTCTCTTGTGCTCCTAAGGTTTTGCTTGAGGTGTTGATCATCGGATCATCACGTCACCTTTGTCCAAGTCACGTCTTGCATCCTATTGAACTAGAAAACAATCACTTGCAAATTCATTAGTCCAATTTGGTTGTGTTGGTCATCAAGCACCAAAATCCAAAGTAAATGGGCCTAGGGTCCATTTTTCTTATAGTGCCCTCTCATCTTGTATATAATCCAAATGGGACCCACTCATAAGAGTTAGAATAACTCATTTCT